AAAGAATCCATGTATATCAGGAAACTACAATGTTTGGAAAATAGATATCAAGATATGTTTAGAGTATCAGTTAGAGTGTGTGTGTGTGTGTGTGTGTGTGTGTGTGTGTGTGTGTGTGTGTGTGTGTGTGTGTGTGTGTGTGTGACGGAGAAGTTGGTATGCACTTTTTTAGGAGTGTCATTTTAGTTTTCCTATTCCTTTCCATGTTGTGTTCCACATACTATTTATTATAAATATCTTACAGTAGTTGAAAGAGTCTTTTAAAAATATATCGATAAGCATCAATGCTAATCAACATGTAGATTATAGAATGATAGAAAAACAACATAACCTCTCCTCTGTTCAGGTCTTCCACAGCCTGCTGAAGGCCCACACCATGGAGGCTCGGGCCATCGTGCGACAGGCGATGGCCATCCTCACTCCAGCTGTTCCCGCCCGCATGGAGGACGGCCACCAGATGTTGACCCACTGGACTCGCAAAATCATCGTGGAGGAGGGACACACTGTACCACAGCTGGTCCACATACTGCACCTCATCGTGCAGCACTTCAGGGTGAGCAGATATAACAGAAATCAGTTTTGTATACACCACTTTCTGTCAGCCCATCACTGTGAGTGGTGCAGTGATTTGTTTACAAGCCAACCCGGAAGTTGGCAACAAAGGAACAAATGGACGACAAAAGCCAATGTGATTTTCAAAAAATCAAACATCTTTTTTTAGTGCAATCGCCAGAAGTGAGAAGCAAGTCACCACCGCTAAGCTAACGGCAGCTAATGCACAGTTTCATTTAGCAACTTTTTAGGAAACGCATTCTTTAAGATGCGACAAATCTTAAAATCTTGTAAGCTTGAGTTAATCACAGATCTTAGGTCAGGTATCGAACCAAAAAACGGGTAAAAAAAAAACTAACGGAAACAAAAATGCTGACTAATTCCCGGGTTAAAGACTCATTCCTGCACTCTGTCTTGGATGTGTTGATACCCAGCGGTTTTCATTTGGCTGGCTGGGCCGTACGGAATAATCCAAACAAATGCTGCCCTATTTATACCACCTTTTCAAGGATAACTAATTACTGACTATCAAATGTCACTGTCTCACTCATTTCCTGTGAACCAGGGTTAGCTGGGAATCATGCAAATCCCCGACCAGCCTCCCTGCTCAGTGTGGCTTCGGCAATTTCAGAGAACCACATGTGGGGGAAAACAGCTGAGGAGCTATTTTTACTGATTATCTGAGTGCCCTGAATTAAATGATGCCTCTTAACCGGGCCTAATAGGAATGGAGCATCATCATTAAAAGTTGGATCATCTTGTCTGACCCAGTTTATCGTTTTTTCTGACTAGTTGATTCACCAAATTTGAGTTTGAAATTGACAGTGCCTCCTAATCAAAAACAGGATCAGATCTAGGCAGCAGTGCTAACAGTGAGCCACCTTTTAATCGCCTTAATGCAGGCACTTCCAAGTGCTCAGAGCTTGTACTTAAGTAAAAGTAGGAGTATCACAGGCCACGCCTACTCTGGCACCACCAGCTAAAGGATGGTTGTCCTTTTTTCTTTTGCCTTCCTCCTCAAACTTCACACACACTTTCTGCCCTCTCGCCCCGTCCGGCTGCTGTCCGCTGCCTCCCCGGGTCAGAGAGCGAGGGTCTCTCAGCAGAAGACTGACGTTCCCTTCCGCTTCCCTCTGTCTCACTGACAGGCTGCTCTCACTGGGCCAGATGACTAATCTAATGTAATCACATCAGCATAATTACGCTGGGGAGCAGATAATGACAGACAGATGAGAGACCTTGTGTGTGTGTGTGTTAGATAAAGAAATGGTGTTTGTGTGTGTGCACACGTGATGGACAGGGCTTAGCCACGCTGTCATTAAGGGCCTGTGAAGCCGCGCTCTATCGTCTATAATTACCCTCAAAGTGAGAGGCTTTAATATTCTCTGACACTGGCAGATAGACACCTCATCTCTTGCTCTCTTGTCAGCGCGTTTGGAGAGTCCCGGTTCGGTTTGCGATGAAGCTAAGTGACTCTTGAGTGTGACGCTTGAGTGTGAATTCTCAGGGCTAAGTGTGTCATCATGTCCTTCAGACTAAGTGGGAATACAACTTTAGAGTTTTGCCTCTTCTGACTCAGTGGCTCAAAGTGATTGGGAATTATCACCCTAAAATCTGGAGCGAAGAATTGGCAATGTTAAAAAATTCAATTCTCCCCAAAAACAAAAGCAGTGGCTTTTGGAATCACGTTTATAGCATTCGTGATTATGATGCTCCTCGGGCCATCTGACCTCTGATTGGAAGAATTACCCCAAAACACCCCTCTTAATTGCTTTTTGGATGGTTGCTAAGGCAGTCGCAGCTATTGTAATTCATATGTGGTCATTTAACTGGAAGCTGGGGGAAGTCAGAGGTTGCTCCCAAAACAAGTTTGCCAAACCAGAAATATCAAACCAATGTGAATTGAATATGCAGAACTTGGATTCTTCATTTCATCACATTTTGGGAAACGTATGCAGTTTGTCTTTTTCAAATCTATTTTGCAGTGTAGACGCTTAAGTTGTGCTTGTTTGTAAAGTAAGGAATATAAAATAAAAAATGTCCCCAAGCATTTACATTTTATGTAGAGGTTTTTTGTTCTTTAAGTACTGCTCTGTCATCTGTTCAGCCTTTCTCACTATCCTTCTTTTGAACTCTGCCATCGGCATCACTGACCATCTGGCGTCAGAGCTTTAGGAGAAGAACATGCAGTCAAGTCTAACAAGGCACTCTGTGTTTAGAATACCAAGTATGGAAGCTTTCACGCAGCAGATTGTACAATTCTTGAAGTTTAATCACTTTTTATTATTATTTTATCCGACTGATTTAACGTATCATCGATTCCTCTGTTATTAACGCACTGCTGTGTCCTTCCAGGTGTACTACCCAGTGCGCCACCACCTGGTTCAGCACATGATCAGCGCCATGCAGCGCCTGGGCTTCACCCCCAGTGTCACCATCGAGCAGAGGAAGCTGGCCGTGGATCTGGCTGAAGTGGTCATCAAGTGGGAGTTACAGAGGATCAAAGACCAGCTGGTGTGTTCATGGATTTATCGTAACAAACATTCAGGAGGCTGTCTACGTGCAGTTTTTATTTCCTTATGAGTGTGTGAACAACAGCAGTGTTTTAAGGCGCCTTGTTGAAATGACTATGAATGCCTTAACTTCTCTCTATTCTTTATTCTACGTGTTTCTAATAATCACTGCTGACATGCTTATTATGTCACAAGAAAGGGCCATTTATCAAACATTGTCTTAGTCCATAAATACTGCTGTGGTCAGAAACTACAGCACATATACTCTTTGGTTTCATTCAGCTGTAATAATGTAATGCTCCTCTTCACTTCCTCTATATACACTTTTTGCACTACATTTTATTTAGTTTTTTGTATTTTATTATATATGTTGGAGCAGCTCAGGTCAGAAGAATGTCATTGCCATTTCTACACTTTAACTTTGTGCATTTAAACCTTTGAATCTCCTGACTGTCCAGCCGGATTCGGATGCTGAAGCTGTGGCTGGTGGTGAGGGGACGAGCGGGGGGGCAGTGAAACGAGCTCTGTCTCTGGAAGCTTCTTCTTCCTCTGCTGTCACTGCTCCTGGAGGAGGAGGAGGAGGAGTAGGAGGAGGAGCTGGAGCTGCTGCTGCTGCTGCTGCTGGACCGGACGCCAAGAGGTTCCGCACGGCAACAGGAGCTCCATCAGCGGTGAGTTTGTTTAGGAAAAGAGTTTAGGACAGGATCCAGTGGCCGGTCACTTTGTCCATGGATTCGCTTTATAGTGGGTAACTCTCTGGCCTAATTCCAAACCGTCCCCTACACACTCCCACTCTGTGAAAGAGGGAACTCCATCTGTAGTGACACTCACAGCTAAATGAGGCTCCTTTTTCAAGAGCTGCAAGATTTTGGGCTAGCTTCCCTCCCTCCGACAGAAACCAAAACATATGTTTAGCCTTTAACCCTTATATTGTTTTGGGGTCTCCCGTGACCCGTTTCAAGTTAAAATGATATAATAACTACGCTCTAGTTTTTGTATCTGAACAAGGCTTCATGGTATCCTCCACCACAGATATATAAACACTACAAAACTGATTTTGACAATTTTGGCCAAATCTGAAGGTCTCTAAAAAAAAAAAGTGTATAATTCGGTGTTGGGGTCTGGGGAGACCCAGCAGAATTGTTTTGGGTGACTCGAGGTCAAATTTGTCCCAATCAAGATTCATCTTTGACTTTAGACATAATACATATGAAGTTGATTTATTCTCCTTAACTATTGTAGAATACTTTAGGGTGATCCTTACGGCCCGTCCACACAGTGGCGTGCGTTGAAAGCTTCACCATTCACTTTGAATGGGTTGACGTCACTTTTCGCCGAACTGCATTGTGGGAAGCGGAGCTTTGCTGGCGTGGCTCGCTGCAAAAGTTGAGCAATGTTCAACTTTTGAAGCCTCGGCAGAAGGGTCAGCCAATCGAATCATATGCCAGTACAAGCTCTAGCCAATCAAACCGCTGCTTGTGTGTCAGGGGCGGGAGATTCATGTGATTGGTTGTTGGTCGAGT